GTTGTGTGTAATTGTGCTGCTGCATTTTCCTACAAATACAGTCACTTAATTTCACTGCGAAGCAAAATCCTTTGAGACATCCTTCCAACGTGATAAGGTGCTATAACAAGTACAAGGATTATTATTAATAATATTATTAATATTATTATTAATACTGTTATTATTATTAATATTATTATTATTATTACCTGTCTTCTTCCCTCTTGAGACCCACAACAGACTCTGCCTCTCTCACTTTAAATTTCAACATCCCAACAGCAAACAACAACGGACCTCTGTTTTGGTACCTTCTTAGCCTTTTCTCTGTGAATCAAGAATAACATTATTACTGTAATATTACTATTAGACCCAGTAGAGGGAGCTTGCGCCAGTACAGACTTGATGGGAAAAGAGCAAAGGAATGGGGTTCTCAGGACCAAGGACCAGTAATAACGCTGACCCTGGCAGCATCACCCAATCTCAAAATAAATACAAACTCCAATGGCGTTCCCTTGCCCTATCTCTATCATGCGTGTGCTGGTGCTAACTTACTCACTGGAACTCTCCAATCTATCCTCTTTCCCCTGCTCTTTCTCTGTACCCTCTAATATTGGTCACTGGTGGGCAGGAAATCATCCCATTCAGCTGCTGTTAACCCTGCAAACCAAAGCCCTAACAGGTAGGGTTGTCCAAGTTGGTCCAATAGCACTTTAATGCACTCCATCCGGTAAAAAAAAGATGAATGTCCCCTTAAGATTGTTATGACATACTTGATTAGTGCATGAAGATGGTAGGGAAGGAGAAGTGCCAAAAAAATAAGGAATAGCCTTTGGATTGAAATAACACTCCTGTTTTAATCTCAACAAGCGTAGCGATGCCCTGAATTACAGTGACTGTAGATATTCATCGTGAAAGCGTTCGAGGCTTTGTAAATGAGGAAACCTGTTGTGGGTTAGGTTCGCAATTAAAAAAAAATTGTCTTTATTAAAATGCAAAGAGTAAGTGTTAATAAGCACGAATTATGCTTGGAAAATTGAATCAAGTGTTGACTTTGAGCGTTGGATTATTATTCCTAATTCTCATCTCGCCGTTCATAGTTTGTTTCATATATTCCACAAATAATCATCTGCTCAGAGACAGGGGTGTGTTTGGTGGTAAATATCTGTGATTGCAAAACAGCAAAAGAAGCTTGGCTTGAATGTGAATTCTGTAGTGTACATGGAGTCCTGCAGCTTCGTGGTAAGAGCATTTGTCTTGCAAGCGAGAGGACCCAGGTTTGATTCCCAGGCAGGGTGAAACCGTAGGCAAGTTTCCTAACTCCATATGCCTCTGTTTACTTAGCATTAATCCCTTGAAAAATAGGGGGTAATAATCCCTTCAAAAATAAATGATAATTTTGTCACTCAATCCACGACTGCTTGTGGGACACTGCTGTGCGCAATTGGCTGCCACCTTTTGCCCCCAAAATACATAGTCAATTCACTTTACAGTATATCCTGTGAAGCACTTTGAGACGTCTCAACGACGTGATAAGGCGCTATATCAAATGCAAGGATTATAATTATTCTTCATTGAATTCCTTCTAATTTTCTTGTTGTACACTAACATCTCAAAGCATTTTCATTTTGCCTGGCCTTTAAAACAGATGCTAATGTGCAAAAAAAATATATACACACACATTGTCTGGGATCCTGCGACAAGCGAAGATAACAATAATTGTAATGTCTTTATAATGTAACATCTGTTGACGAAACATCAAATGTCTTAATTATCATCTTCAGCAGATTTATTTCCAGGAATAATCCCCTCCGTTGCACTAAGCGAAAATCATTACTTGGAAAAACAGATTAAACGGTGCAGGTTGGTGCTGATGCAGATGTAACGTAAATCAAGGTGCAATGTATACATGCAGGATGGTGAGGATAAGTGAAAGCGAAGCTATAAATTGCTGATTTCCCGAACACTGCTGTAAACCTGCCAGACAGCTGACTTCAGCAGTGCCTCAGTCTTCAGGGTTAGGTTATTAGCTGGAGTTAGATTAGAAAATCAGCCATGATTGAATGGCGGGGCAGCTCAAAGGGCTGAATGGCCTACTCCTGCTCCTACATGTTATGTTATGTTCAGAAGACAAAGTCATTAAACGCTTAAGAACTGGGACGGGTGTCTGTGGATGACAACCACTAACAGTGGCCACCCATCCTACTGAATGGCTTTGGGTCAGTCTGGCTCAGTTGGTATCGCTCTCGCCTCTCAGCCAGAGGGTTGTGGGTTCAAGCCTCATGTCAGGACATTGATTTCAAATCACGTCATAGTCCCCACTGGCATCCCACTACCTCTCTGACCTGCTCACTCCCCAATCCACAACCCATTGTCTCCGCTCAACTGGCTCCCACCTCCTGCTTGTTCCTCTGGTAAAGATGGGGTTAAAAATGACCGAAGTTGCGGTCAAAGATGCAGCTTGAAGGAGGCGAAGGAAAGGGAGAGGTGAATACTGTTATTTCCAGAAGGTGAGGGCAGGAAAGCTGAAAGCTCAACTGTTGATAGTGGAGGGGGCTCGCGGGATCATGAAGCCAGGCCAGTGCCTGCCCAGCAAAGGGAGCGGCGGGTTGGTGGGGTTTAAGAAGGTCACAAGATAGCGTGGGGCAAGACTGGAGGGGTTCAAGAGTGAGGACAAGGATCTTGAACTCGATCCTCTGGGGAGAGGGAACCATCGGAACCGGGTGAGGATGGGGTGATAAACTCACAGAGTCTAGTGCGAGAGAGGACCCGAGCTGCAGAGTTCTGAATGATGTGTAGCTTGTGGAGGGAAGAGGTGGGAGGTCCAGAGAGCTGGGAGTTGGCATAGTCTAGCCTGGATGTGGCGAATGCAAGGATAAGGATCTCGGCGGAGGCCGGAGGAGAGGGGTAGTAGCAAAGAGGTGGGGGAAAGCTGACCCCATATGGGGTTTAATGGACAGTTGAGAGTGGAACTAGACACCAAAATTCTGCCCTGGCTCAGTGAGGTGTAGAGTACATCCATGCTGACAGCACCTAAGTTGTGGAGATGCTGATGGGAGGGAGCCAAGCAGGAGACCCTCTGTCTTGTCAGCATTCAATTGGAGTAAGTTAGCTCTCATCCAGGACTTGTTGTCGGATAGGCAATCAATCAGGACGCTGGAGTCGAGGTTGGAGGCAGAGAGGTAGAGTTGGGTAACATCCGCACGCATGTGGAAGTTAACCCTGTGCCTGCGGGTGATCAAAAAACTTGTTTAGTGATTTGATGGGTTGTGTTGAGACGTGGCGTGTGACCGATTAGTTGAAGTAAACTGTTGCTGTAGGCGACACCTGTGAACAGAGGTAACAGGATTTTAATTGAAAATAATGCTCTTGACCTTATATAAGGGTGACCAGAAAGTCGTGATACCATTACAATGTCCAAAAGCTCTGAAAGAAATTCTGAAACACTGATATATATTGTTTTAGATAATAGGGTAGATATCACGACTTTTCAGTCACCCTGTACTATTTTCTCTCAAAGCTAAACTGCAATTACCTCACTGAGTCCCACTATCTTACTTTCAGTTCCCTTGTCTTCTCTCCTGAAGGCAGTGACTCATACAGAGCTGGAGTTTGTGTCGCTGACAGGGAAAGCACTGTCCAGAAGGCCATAGATTCAGATGTGGTTGAAGACAGGCAGATACACACACATACACGCGCGCACACACACGCACACAAACACACGCACACACGCGCATGCACACACACACGCACACACAAGCACGTACACGTAGGAATCGCTAGACAAAAAAAGACCAATGACCATCTCGTTTGCCTTCTACCATCCTGATAGTTGCTGTCATAGTGGAGATGTTGATAGCAATTAATTCTGTATGGATTAGTCTACAGTAGAGTGGAAAGCTTTGGAAACCTTAGATCCATAGATGCCTGGTTCTTCCAAGCAATATTATACTCACTATATGTCATGTCTCAAATTACTCATATACTGTATCCCCAAAATATTATTTTCAAAAAGAAATCTATCTAATTTGTAGTTGATTGAATCGACAATTTCTGCTTCCACTGTCTCCCTATTGTACACCATACAATCCAGACAATATAATAATAACAATAATAATCCTTGCATTTGATATAGCACCTTATCACGTGATTGGGATGTCTCAAAGCGCTTCACAGAATATACTGTAAAATGAACTGACCGTATATTTTAATAATAACAATAATAATAATAATAATCCTTGCATTTGATATAGCGCTTTTCACGTTGGCAGGACTTCCCAAAGCGCTTCACAGAACACACTGTAAAGTGAATTGACTGTATATTTGTGGGCGAACGCGGCAGCCAATTGCGTAGAGCAATGCCCCACAAACAGTCATGGATTTTGTGGGTGAAACGCAGCAGCCAATTGCACACAGTAGTGTCCCACGAATAGCCATGGATCGAGTGACCACATTTTTTAAAAGAGATTATTACCCCCAGATATAACAAGACAAATAGAGAGATACTTAACAGACCAACCAACTTATCGACCAACTGATGTTCGTCAACGGATACCAATTCGGAACAAGCAAACCTGAGCAATACTATCATTGAGACACACACACACATACACCATTATATAATTTTATATTGTTACTTTTTGACATTGGCCTGCTACTTAGGATTAGTTTTTGCTCAAATGCCTTTGAAAATATTTTCAAAATAATAATAATAATATCAGTCTCCCCTTCGAGTTCAGACTAATATAATAATAATTGTGTTACATCCTTGCTTTTAACACAAACCTTTTTCATGTCGTCAAAACGTCTCAAAGCACTTTATGGGATCTTTACTCTACAGTGTAGTGACCATGTATTTGTAGGCTGGCATGACAGTCAAAATTTGCACACACCAAATGTCCCACAAACACAGCACATTTAGCCAAACAAAATTGCACAGTTTTGATTGCGAAAATGTTCCGATTCTCACAAATGTCCTCTTTTAGAGTTTAACGCTTGTTATTTTGTATTCAAAACTCTTGCAGTTGTGAACATCACTCAACCGTACTTCAGTGGCACAGATGAGTTTGGGTTCAGCTCCTTTCTGGCGTTCTCCAGGGTCCCCAATATCAGTCTGCACTTCGAATTCAGACTGAAATTTAAGCTGGCGGATCACAAGGCGTCCGTCACAAACAACCTCATCTTTTTCGCTGGACAGAAGGGGCAAGGTAAGAGTCACCTGACTATTCTGCAATTTAATAAATAATAATTAATAATAATAGCATTTGATATTGCCAGTCAGGCATCAGCCTGGCTCGGTTGTTATTACTCGTGTCTCTGAGTCACCTTGGGACGTCCTCCCGACGTGAAAGGCACTACACAAACGTAATTTGTTGTTGTTGAGTCAGAAGGTTGTGGGTTCAAGCCCCACAGTCAGGACTTTGAACTCATATAGTCGAGGCTGAAGCCCCAGTGCAGTAACTGTGGGAATACTGCATTGCTGAAAGCTGCTGTCTCTTTTCTGTTGAGGGCAGAGACGAGGGCAACAGAAGGTCTGAGATGCCATTAGTCTGAACCTGTGAGACCATTTAGCCTTGAAGCCTGAGATCATGGGGAATGCTGTACAGTTCTTCCGCAAATCTGCGCTATTGGGAGATAGTAGCAGACTGCAAATGGACATAGACAGACTGGTAAAATAGGCAGACACGTATTAGATGAAGTTTAATGTGGAAAAATGCAAAGTGATGTATTTTGGGAGGAAGAATGAGGAGAGGCAATATAAGCTGATGGTACAATCTTTAAGTGGGCGAAGGAACAGAGAGACCTGAGGGTTCATATAAGTAAATCTTAAAGTTTGAGGGACAGGTAGATAAAGCTGTTAAAAAGCGTTCTAGGGATTCTAGGTTTTATAAATAGGGGCATAGAATTCAAAAGTCAGGAAGTTATGATGAACTTTTATAAAACACTGATTAGACCTCAGCGAGAGACTGTGTTCAGTTCTGGGCACCACAGTTTAATAAAAATAATACTACTACTACTAATAATAATCCTTGCATTTGATATAGCGCTTTTCACATCGGGAGGACATTCCAAAGCGCTTCACAGAACACACTGTAAAGTGAATTGACTGTATATTTGTGGGCGAACGCGGCAGCCAATTACGCACAGCAGTGTCCCACAAACAGTCGTGGATTGAAAATGACCAATTTATTATTGTTTTGGTTTTGGAGGGATTATTATTAGGCTCTGTGTGGAGTAAGGAAACTTGCCCAAGGTTTCGCGCTGCCTGGAATTGAACTCAGGTCTCTCGCTTGCAAAGCGAGTGCTCTAACCACTAAGCTACAGGACTCCACTTTACGAAGAATGTCAAGACATTGGAGAGGGTACAAAGGGGATTTACCAGGATGGTACCAGGAATGTGAGACTTCAGTTATCATGAGAGGTAGAGAAGATGGGATTATTCTCCTTGGAGCAGAGAAGGTTAAGAGGAGACTTCATAGAATTTTTCAAAATTATGAGGGGATTCAATAGAGTGAACAAGGAGAAACTGTTTCCACTGGCGGGTGGGTTGGTAACCTGAGGACACCGATTTAAAATAGTTGTTAAGAGAAACAGAGGTGAGATGAGGAGAATTGTTTTCAGACAGCGCGTTATTCGGATCTGGAATGCATAGCCTGAAAGGGTGGTGGAAGCCAATTCGATAACAGCTTTTAAGAGAGTAGATAATTATTTGGGGAGGACAAGTTTGCAGAGCTATGGGGAGAGAACGGGGGAGTGGGATTGAATTGGATAGCTCTTTTCAAAAAGCCGGCAAAGACACGATGGGCCGAATGGCCTCCTTCTGTGCTGTATAATTCTATGATTCTATGAACTCACTATGTTGCAAATTGCTTGTCAAGCTCCATTCCGTACAAACTCTCTTGTTGCAAAATTAGGCAAGAACCGATTTGTCTCCATTCCCCCTCTCCCTTTCTGCTTGCTTCCTAATCACTCAACGGACATGGTTTCATTGCAAACAGCTTTTAACATTGGAGTTTTAATCTGCTGTTAACCTTCTCTAACAATCCTGAAGAATATGTGGGAGTCATACTGGCAGCTGCTACCTTCCACATCTGTGCTGCGAACCAACCATTTTGCAACACCACAATGAATTACGGTAAAACGTCGACTTAAATTAATGTAAAATGTTTGGGAGAGGCTCTGTGAAGGTTTGTGAGTGCCACCTAGTGGATGTGTCGATGACCTGCAGCACACTTCACCGAATGCATAAAGTAAATAAGTTATAGATGAGTGTGTGACTTGCTCTGCGTTATTTTTTTGGTCAACTTGGGTGCCTGACACATGCGGAAACCCATCACCATGCTTCGTAGTATCCAAACCAAACTGAGAATTCCATACATCCCACCTACACATGTGAATCCCAGGGATAGATTATTGGACTGCAATGTGGACTCTCTCCCCGGAACCTCTCTCACTCTTTCCACTCAGGAACCAGAATACCAAGTCCAATCCAGAGGCCTGGCTCGATTCCTACAATCCATTGCGAAGCACTTTACCTCAGAATCAGTTCAGTCCCAATGAGACCCCGACATACCTCCCCCTCAGGGAGGAGAGTCACTGAATTGGATCTTGAATGATCAGCGCTCCAACAGCGATTTCTCCAAAACCCTGTGAAATTTTTTTAAAAGAAGATTTATTCAAGCTACGGAAAGTATTTTCTCACGCAAAGTGCTTGTGAGGATGTCCAACACCGCGCCACAAAATAGCTGAAATCCTTGCATTTGCTTACAGCGCCTTTCATGTCAGGAGGATGTCTCAAAGCCTTTCACAGGATTTACTGTGAAGTATAGTAACCACACATTTTGTGGGCAAACATGGCTGTGTGTGGGGGACGTTGCCTTTGGGAGAAAGTTGCAATAATAATAATAATCCTTGCATTTGATATAAGAACATAAGAATTCGCTTGGCGAAAGAAGTGCATCTAGTTCGCTTTCCTTCCTGGCAGTCGCTTGACATGTCGTGTCCCAAACTATAAAGTGTATCCTGAGATAGTATTTTCTAGCAGAAATCTATCTAATTTGTTCTTGAAACCACACTTTGTATATATACAACACTTTATTATATCATTAGGAAGTCTCAAAGCACCTCATATATTGTAAAGTGGATTGACTATGTATTTTGTGGGTGAAACGCGGCAGCCAATTGCGCACAGCAACGTCCCGCAAACAGTCGTAAATTGAGTGACCAAAAATTTTTGGGGGGAGGAATTATTGCCCCTGGGAAGTGATTCACCAATCGAATAACAACCGAGAAAAGATGGGCATAGTGGCTGAAGGTTCAGTCACTGATGGTGGGCACAGAAGGAGAGAGGAAATAGTAGGAGTTGGACAGAAGGGGAATTTCACAGTTGAACAGATTGAGTATGAGCAGAGAATTCCCCGTCACAACAGGGAAACTGCTCTGTACTGTCGCTGGTGGCAGTTTTTTCTTTGTTCCTAACTGAGCAGCTCAGGCGAAGATTGGAATCACGTAGTCACTGCTGGAGGTGTGTTGCACTGCCATTAAACCCCAACAATACCCATACATCCATAACATCATCGACTTCAAAAGTTAACTCATTTTCCTCTCTCCATAGATGCTGCCTGACCTGCTCCGTGTTCCCAGTGACTATCCCCCCGAATATAATTGGTCACTCACTTCGTGGCTGTTTGTGGGTCATTGTCCTGCCTGGTTTGCCTACAAATACACAGCCACTCCATTTCACAGTGATTCCTGCGAAGCGCTTCGAGTCATCCTTCCGACCCGATAAGGTGTTATGCGAATTCAAGGATTATTATCAACAACAGTGATGATTACATCATTTCGATGGAATCACATTTTGAGATGTGATTACATCATTTCGATGGAATCACATTTTGAGATGTGATTCCATCGAAAGAGACCTTCCGATGGAATCACATCTCAAAATGCTTCAAACAGCTGTGCGCAAGTTGGCTGCCACGTTTCGCCCACAAAATACACAATCAGCCCACTTTACAGCATATCGTGTGAAGCGCTTTGAGACGTCTCGACGACGTGATAAGGCACTATATCAAATGCAAGGATTGTTATTATTATTAAGAGACTGAGGTCCACCTTTGTTGCCATCGAGCTGTAACATTGCAGAGTCTCTCACAGTGACAGCTTTGGCAGATATCCAGCCCGGGAGACCTAAGGAGCAGCAGATCACAGTCAGCGGGTTGATGATGGCTGGATATGGGGCTCCGCTGATTAACTAGTTGCTAGGCGATCATTTTGGCATCGTGGCTCAAGGACGCAGGGTACAATCTGTGAGCTTTCGCTTGCAATGTGTGGGTCAGCAGATCTGACCATCATTCTGCAAACCCTTAGCTGTCCAGCGCCTTGGGACGTCCTCCCGACGTGAAAGGCTCTGTATAAATGTAATTTGTTGTTGGTGCTATTCATTCTGAAGTTCTTAAAAGTCCCTACGAAAACCCAACCCACTTCAAACTTAAGACTCAATTTAAAAATTCTGAAAGATTTCCAGGATCTGAAATGTTAAGAAGTAAATCTAAGTCACCCATTTCAGCATTTGTTAGAGCGTTTTTCACGTCTTCTAGACGTCTCAAAACGCTTCACAGAATAGACTGTAAAGTGAATTGACTGTACATTTGTGGGCGAAACCCGGCAGCCAATTGCGTACAGCAGCGTCCCACAAACAGTCATGGATTGAGTGACCAAATTATTATTTTATTGCATTTTATTTCTTGAGGCATTATTATTAGGCGTGTGCAGTAAGGAAACTTGCCCAAGGTTTTGCCTGCCGGGATTTGAACCCAGGTCTCTCGCTTGCGAAGCGGGTGCTCCAACTACTGAGCTACAGGACTCCAGTATGGTATGAAAGGCCGAACTCACACCTGCGATCACCCAGTGTAAAAAAATTCACGTCACTGCTGTTTTTGGGGGGCGTTACTGTGCATAAGTTGGCTGGTGCGTACCTACAAAATACACAGTCGCTGCCCTTTGCAGTGAATGCTTTGTAATGTCTTCCCGACGTCAAAGGAGATAGATCAGGTAATAATAATAATCCTTGCGTTTAATATAGCACCTTTTCGCGTTGTTGAGACGTCTCAAAGCGCTTCACAGAATATACTGTATATTTTGTGGGTGAAATGCGGGGACACAGACACCCCATGTAAACAGATTGCTATTAATAGCAATGGGTCATGACCCAACTGTGCAGCGCCTTGGGACGTCCTCCTGACGTGAAAGGCGCTTTATAAATGGAATCTTGTTGTTGTTGTTGTTGTAATAGTCGTCATTCTGCACGCTCAGATGTGATGTGATATTCGGCTTGTTGTTCGAATGAACAGCATTGACAGGGTAGGTTGGAGCCAGTTACAAACGGTCTGATTTCCTCGCTGGCTCTGACGCTGCTGTATTAATGGGCTGAGCTACAATTAATGTCATGGTTGGAAATTCGAGGAGTTGATCATTGAAATTGCTTGTAAACCACAGCACAGTAATTAGGTGTAACTGCACTTGGGTTCTTCACTGGAGACGCATTCAGCTTAATTGCTTTGTTTTGCAGTTTGGTGTCGAAATTCCTCGAGACACTTTTTAAAGGGGTGGAAGTCGTGAGTTAAATTAATTATAGTTTAATACAAGTGTCCACCCTCGGGACTTTGAACTCACAGTCCAGGTTGACACTCGGGTGCAGTGCTGGGGTGTCGTTGCATTGTCGGAGGTGCCGTCCTTTGGGTGAGACATTAATCCGAGGTCGCATCTGCCTGTTCAGGTGGACGTTAAAGATCCCACAGCGCTATTGGAAAAGAGAAGGAAGTTTCTCTCTCCCAATGTTCTGGCCAACAATCCCTTGGCTGCTAAGTTTCACCCACAAAATACACAGTCAATTCACTTTACAATGTATTCTGTGAAGCGCTTTGAGACGTCCCAACAATGGGATAAGGAGCTTAATATCAAATGCAAGAATTATTATTGTTATCGTTATTGATACTTTCATGGCTGTGGGCTCTTGCTGTGTTGCCATGTTTGCCTGCAAAGCAGTCACTACACTTGGCAGCAATTTACCTGTGCATTTGAGAAGTTTCAATTTTGCAGGCACCACATCAAACTCAAATTCTATCCTTATAATTTTATGAATGCAATTCACACCCAAAGTGAGGGGTGTAATCAACGGCATTAACTAAAGTATTTGCACCTTGAAATCAAAGTGCATGTCCACACAGTCCTGTTAAATCCGTGGTTTTGTTTCAACAGTGCACTGACCGACAACTGAAACATGTGGAAGAATAATGATAATTGTTTTTAGAAGGACTTCATTGTATTCAGTACAAGTGTTTAACTGTATTTAGACTTCCAGAGGATGGGTTTGAGTGAGCGCCATCATTTTCATGGCAGATAATGATACACAATCAATTAAATTTACAGCACTTTGTGACATCTAAACGACATGATAAGGTGCTACATCAAATGAAAGAATTATTATTATTATGATCCGTCACCGTGTTCGGTGCAACATCGTCCATAACATGGATAGAGTGATGAGGAGAAATGCTTCTTTGACAGCTTGTTTCAGCTCATCTGTAGTCTCATATCACTGTTTTGTTATAGGGAGTAACATGACTTTGTGGACACCCTGTAGAGTGAAGCGAAGCCGAGACCCTATAGGCCTAAGCTTGATATTGCTCTAATTACTGTTCTCTGTCCCCAGGGCTGAATGGTGATGACTTCCTGGTGCTGGGCTTGGAAAATGGAAGTGTTGTCTACAGGTTTGATTTGGGTTCTGGCCGTGCTGTGATCATCAGTGACCCACTGGATCAAGCTCGTCACTTGCATGTTGTCCATTTAGGAAGGTCCTTCAGGAAGGGATGGCTGAAGGTAAGTATTGGTGGGGAGAGCATAAGAATTGCTGGATGAAAGAAGACCAAGGTCCATCCAGTTCACTTTCCACCATCCTGGCAGTCGCACGCACAGGTCATGTCCCAAACTACATACTGTATCCCGAGATATTATTTCCTAATACAAATCTATCTTAATTTGTTCTTAAAAGAATCGGCACATCGGAAGAGGAGGGGAGCAAGAGGGAGCTCAGATTCATATGTCCCATCTCTTCCGACATTAGAGAACAGAGACTGATTATACTGCGCTAGTCTATTTCCACTGTTAGGAGAGTCAGTGACCAGAGGACATAGATGTAAGGTAGTGACAAGAAGAGTCAAAGGAGATATAGCAGAAACGTTTTCAGACTCAACTCAGAGAGTCATCGTAATGTGGAATGCGTTGCCAATTCAGATGGTAAAGGCAGAGTCCATTGTGGGTTTCAAGAAGGAGGTAGACAGGGATATCAGAGGCAGAAGCTTGAAGAGGTATGATGATAAGGTGCGTGGAATTCCATTTGGAAAGCATGCTCTAGGACCTGGTGGAGACTCAATAGGCCTCCTTCTGCACTGTAAATTTGTGAAGCACAGCGCTGTGAAGCACGTTGAGAGTCTCAACATTGTGATATGGCGCTAGTAAGAAGTTTAGAGGTCTGGTTTGTGGGTTGGATTAACAACCCATATTTAAAATGCAGGTGAGGTTGATGAGAGCCAAAGTTCAAAGACCCCAGAGCATGAGTTGGGGTAACTGCTGGAGTCCAACCAACTAAAAGCACATAGCTTTCCATTGATAGCATGTCTGGCAAGCGTCCTGCTGCTTGTCCAGCTAGAAATCCCCTGCACATTAGGCTTGCACGGTTAACAGGAGCTGAGCGGAGTAGGGTAGAATTCCAGGAGTCAGCACACAGGGAATTTATGGTTCCCACAAGGATCCTAAAATCCAGGATTTCCAGGAGAACCTTGAAAATAGGAAATGTCTAAAAACCTCTGCTGTTGGGAAGGGGACAAAACACAGCAAAGCAAACTGGGAATGTTTGCTTTGTGGGATTTGCGTATCCCACTCGAGCCAACCCCTGGTGTGACTCGAGTTAGGAAGGAGCTTTGAGGTTAAAATTCTTCTGTTTTTTCTTCCGTCCGCTTATTCATTGCCGAGGAAACTGCGTGTAAAAAACAAGAGTCACACATCAGGGCCCAGAAATGATTCATGCCTTGTCTTAAGCCATTGACCGTCGCTGTGGGATTTGTAACCCGCTCGATGGGTTTCCTGTAAGCGGAACAAATTGTGAGGACAGGAAGTTTTAAAGGTCTTGAGAGGGGAAAAATGTTGTTGCACATTAAAACTGCACATTAAAACAGTAGGAGTCCAGCCGCATAGTGGCTAGAGCGCTCGCATCGCAAGCGAGAGGACCTGGGTTTGATTCCCAGGTGGGCTGAAACCTTAGGCACGTTCCCTTACTCCACACACTTCTGTTTACCTAGCAGTAAGCAAGAACCCAGTTGTTAGTCGATTGATGGATCGCTTTTTCAGAGGTAATAATCCGTTCAAAATAAAAGTTTAAAAAATAATAATTTGGTCACTCAATCCATGACTGTTTGTGGGATACTGCGGTACGCAATTGGCTGCCGCGTTTCACCCACAATATATGCAGTCAATTCACTTTACAGTATATTCTATGAAGCGCTTTGAGACGTCTCAATGACGTGACAAGACATTGTATCTAATGCAAGGATTCTTATTATTACCATTGCTTTAAGGTGGACGACCAGAAGAATAAAAGTGCTACATCCTCTGGGCGTTTAGTGGGCCTGAATGTTTTCAGCCAGTTTTACGTGGGAGGCTACAGCGAGTATGAACCCCGTTTCCTACCAAACGGCAGCCACTTCACACACGGTTTCCAAGGTAATCTCTCTCGTACAGCAACATCTCAAGAGAGTTTCTTTCAGGCAGATTTTTCAGGAGAGGAAACAAATCCTCACACCCGAACATTAAAAAACAAAGTTCTGATTTTGATCTTCCGCCCGTGTTATTTTTTGGTTATATGTACGTAGCTATTTATATAAAAAGAACATTAAGATATTGATGGGGGGGGCGAAATTTTCACTGAACAGCCAATCACAGTTTTTACTCCAGGGTATTCACCTGGGAATCGCAGCTGACAAGTCACTGACAACGTTTCCTAATGTCAGTGACCTGGGAAATTCTCTTTGCTGATGCAGAACTCGGTTCTGTAGCAGATCCGAGTCTTGGGATCACATTCGCGGCTTACTAGCGGCTACAAATCCCGTTCAACGTCAGCCATTGACAAAGTCGGTCAGGCGCTCATGGGATTTCGATAATGTGTCAGCCTGGCTTTGTGACAGCGGTCTCGCCTCTGAGTCAGAAGGTTGTGGGTTCAAGCCCCACATCAGGACTTGGATTCACATAGTCTGAACTGACGTTCTAATGCAGCGCGAGGAGTGTGTTGCCTTATCAGAGGTGCCGTCCTTCAGATGAGACGTTTAACCAAGGTCCTGTCTGCCTGTGGAGGTGGACATTAAAGATCCCATGGCTCTGTTCAAAAAGAGAAAGGAGTTTCTGCACGTATCCTGGCCAACAATCCCCCAAATAATACAAATGGTTACTCACTCCATGGCTGTTTGTGGAGCACTGCTGTGCGAAATGGGCTGCCATGTGTCTCCTGCAAAATATACAGTCAATCCGCTTTACAGTGTATCCGTAAAGCCCTTTGAAACATCTCGACGACTTGATAAGGCACTATATGAAACGCAAGGATTATTACTTTTCTTATTATTACTGCTGAATGGAATTGTTACACCATACTTAGCTGGACTTGTTGTTCCATCTTATCTAGTGCTGCTCTTGCAACAGCTGTTATTTTCTATCTCTTTATAAGACATGATGGAGTCTGAAGCAATTGGTGGTTTGGGAGCTGTATTAAGAGATTGTTATGTCCCACCCCGGAGGTGCGGCTTGTGATCCAGAAATGAAACTTCTTGAGTGAACTTAAAGGGAAGTGGACAAATACCGGAAGAAAAAAAATGTGGTCTTTTTTTGTCAGCCGATTGTCTGACGCATGTGGAAACCCGTCACCGTGTTTTCGGTCTCCCTGCTTAACCTCCCTGACCTCCAGCCACCCCGATCTCGACCCTCAGCTCGGGTCCGAAACTCTGTCTGTCCAGCGCCTTGGGTCGTCCACCCGACGTGAAAGGCACTTTACAAAAGTAATGTTGTTGTTGTTGTTCTTAAGAGTATCCAAACCAAATTGAGAATTCCATGTATCCCACCAACAGATGGAAATCCCAGAGATACAACAACAGCAACAACAACTTGTCTCAAAGCACTTAACAGTGGCGGAGCCTGACTCCGAGCCCGGGGGGAGGGCGGAAGTGACCGTAACCACGATCGAAAAGGAAAGTTTTCAGGCCGGATTTAAAAGAGGGGAGAGGGGGGCAAGGCGGAGGGATTGACGGGAGAGCGTTCCAGAGTTTTGGGGCGTAGTGGATGAAAATGCGATAGATTGTTGGAACGACAAATTCTAGGAGGAAAAAAATAAATATTAAAGAGTACGGGAACAGAACGAGATGAAGAATCAATAAAATGATAATAATCCTTGCGTGTGATACAGTGTCTTTCGTGTCAGAAGGACGTGACAAAGTACTTCACAGCATATCGTGCATTTTGTGGACAAACTCAGCAGCCAATTTGCACACAGCAGTGGCCCACAAACAGCCATGAAGTGAGTAACCAATTTTATCAGAGATATTGTGAGTCAGGACATTGGGACAAACTTCCTTCTCTTATAATTAGCGCCAGGGGAATGTCCTTTAATGTCCACCTGAAGAAAGTTCATCCAAAGATGGCACCTCCGACAATGCCGCTCACCGCCAGTGTTGCATTGGAATATCAGGTTGGACTGTGAACCAACCTTTGAATCCACAACCTTCTGACCCAGAGATGAGAGTGCTACTAGCTGAGCTGACCAGATGGTCGCAGTGGGGGAGCGAGCATCCGCGCAGACACGGTGGGCTGAATGGCCTCCTTCTGTGCCGCAAACTTCGGACCCTTTGTGGTTTTCAACTCCCTGGTCAGCAGAAACTCTGCATCCCGAGCCGGGCCATTAGATGGAGCAGCAGAGCATCGCCTGAAAGTGAGGAGAACGTGAGATGGAATTGTGAATGAATGAGCATTTCACAGTGAGTGCATCCCCTAATTGGTCACTCAAGCCCCGACCATTTGGGGGACACTGCTGTGCGCCATCAGCTGCCGGTTAGTTTCACCCACAAAATATACAGTCAATTCACTTTCAGGTGAGGCGCTTTCAGACGTCTCAATGACGTGATAAGGAGCTATGTCAAGTGCAAGGACTATGTACGTGTTAAATAAGCCGTCAGCCGTGTCACTGATTTTTGTTTCATGTTGTTATAACGCAGGCTGTCTGTATGAGCTGCAGGTGCGAGCTGGCAAGAGCGAAGGGTTTCGAGGGCTCGGAATTCCGGAGGGTCATCCCAACGCAGGCCGAAGTGTAGGCCAGTGTGGGGCTACTCCTTGCCTGCTCCTCACGTGCAGGAATGGGGGAGTTTGTGCGGACAAAGGATCCACTATCTAGTAAGTGTCGAGCGGCGGCTGTTTTCATCCTGTGTGTATAGTAGTAAAGAAGGTGGTTAGAGCGCTCGCCCACAAGAGAGAGGACCTGGGTTCAATTCCCAATCGGGGCAAAATGTTGGGCAAGTTTCCTTACTCCACACGCCTCTGTTTACCTAGCAGTGAGCAGGAACCCGGTAGTTAGTCGATTAACCAATCACTTTTCTGGGGATAACAATTTTCTTTTAAAATTATATAAAAGAATCTCAATCCACCGGTTGTTTGTGGAACACTGCTGTGTGCAATTGGCTGCCGCATTTCGCCCACAAATTTTCAGTCAATTCACTTCACAGCATATTCTGTGAAGTGAAACGCTTTGAGACGTCCAGAAGATGTGATAAGGCGCTATATCAAATGCTAGGATTATTATTAGTATAATTATTATAAGTAATTACCCAGCAGGTTTATACTTCACCCACTTTCTCTTTGCGGTTGCGTTTCCCAAGTACTAAAGCTCTTTAACAATTAATTTTATTTTATTTTGTGTTAATCCTGGAGTGTCGCATACTGCTGCTGGCCTTTTGTCCTGTAACTTTATTGGCTTTGGCACTCCCCATCACCCCAATTAAGACCGAAATTAAGATTTGTCCACAATTTGTCCACAAGATTTGTCCACAGACCGTAAATACCTGTGTCAAGACAAAATGTTGTGGGTTCGGGGACAAGGCAAGGCAATGGGATTGAATGAACTCCTTCTGCACTGGACAGGATGTCCACGAAGTCCTGTTACCCCCATGGGTGCACTGACCAACAACTGAAACATGTGGCAGAATGATGACAATTGTGTTTAGAAGAACTTAATTGTATTCAGTACAAGTGTTCAACTGTATTCAGACGTCCAGAGGATGGGTGTGAGTGAGCGACATCATTTTCATTGAGACTCAGTTGTATTTCAGACCTCAGAAGGGATGATGTTGAACGCTCACTGGAAACAGAAGCAAGTTATTTAACGCAGCCTTAAGTGACTGTGGAATTAGCTGCAAACCTATCAGCTGAACCTGGCAGCCAGATCCCTCTTTACTCTCAGACTCCCTCAGAGATGAGCAAACCTGTAGTGGAGTCCTGTAGCTCAGTGATTAGAGCACTCGCTTTGCAAGTGAGAGACCTGAGTTCAATTCCAGGCAGAGGGCGAAACCTTGGGCAAGTTTCCTTACTCCACACGGAGCCTAATAATAATCCCTCCAAAACCAAAAACAATAATAAATTGGTCATTTTCAATCTACGACTGTTTGTGGGACATTGCTGTGCGCAATTCGCTGCCGCGTTCGTCCACAAATATACAGTCAATTCACTTTACAGTGTGTTCTGTGAAGCGCTTTGGGACGTCCTCCCGACGTGAAAAGCGCTATATCAAATGCAAGGATTATTATTATTATTATTATTATTAATAATGTTTTGGGTCAAGCCGGATGTCTGACACATCACCGTGCTTAAGAGTATCCAAACCAAGCTGAGAATTTCATGCATCCCACTTACACATGGAAATCCCAGAGACAGATTGTTGGATTCAATGCGCACTCTCTCCCTGGAGGAACACATACTACTTACCTAACTCTGGAAAATATTAGGGGCAGGTTGGCAAGAGCCATGGTTTGAGGACTTGGGGGATTGAGAGAGAGTCAATTGCCTAGAAAGAGCCTTCACTTCCCACCCACACACTGGTTATAGTAACCAAGGCCAGTGGCAAAGAGCAAACAGAGGAATACTTTATATTATTTCTTTCAATTTGTTAGCCTTTTGATCACTGATTTCTCAACAGGTCGTTGAGTTTGGACTTAGATGCTGTTGTGTGATTACGTAGAGTTACACAAGCCATTCGGCCCAACTAGTGCGCGTCTGTGTTTATTCTCCACACAAGTCCCCACACTTCCAATTCCCCAGTTGTACAACAGACAACCTCCTTTGCCTGACATAACGCTTTGTATTAACATTGCCATTTTCTTCTTGGTTCATCCAGTTGATCCAGAATTCTGCCGCCAGCAAACTCACCCACACCAAACTCCATACCCCCATCACACCAGTATTTGCTGGGCTCCATTGACTCCCTATCACCGAACAGATCGACTTCAAGACCCTCTCACTCGTCTTCAAATCCCTTCATGCCCTGGCGCCTCCCTATTCTCCGACCTGCTTACTCCCCAACCCACTACCCCCTGTCTCTGCTCGACTGGCTCCAGCCTTCCCTTGTCTCCTCCATTCCACCATCAGCCACTACGCCCCAAAGCTTTGGAACACTCTCCCTCAATCCCTCCGCCTAGTCCCCTGTTTCCCCATTTTCAGATCTCACCTGAAGACATTCCTCTTCGACCGTGCCTATGGTCACCCTCCCCCTCCCACTGGCTCAGCGTCGTGCTCCACCACTGCCAAGTGCTCTGGGACGCTACCCTGCCTGAGGGGGCACTGTATAAATACAAGTTGTTGTTTCTCTCCTTCGTGAAAAAAGGCTCTGTGCTCTGACTCGGTCCTCTCTTCGCTTCCCCACACGCAGCTGCCAGTGCACCTCGGGATGGAAGGGAGCTTTCTGCACCGAGACGGTGACGGTGTGTGACCCGAGCACACACCCCCGCACCAGTGCGCGTCAGGCGCCACTTGCATCCCGTTACCTGAAGGCTACGCCTGCAACTGTCCTCTGGGCACCGCTGGCATCTACTGTGAGAAAGGTAACACTGGACGCTTGCCGAGCGGTTTGTCATCCCCGTCGCTTCCATTTCATCCAGTGCTGCTGCTACTGGACATTACTCCCAGCACAATAGACACACATCGACCTTCCCCATGCTAAGGGGTAGAGGAGGGAAGATAACCGGGGCTTCAGTCACTTTCCCATCTCCACCCTCCCTTGCCCTCCAACCTTCTCTGATCCCAACCCGCAGTTCGGGTGCAAACCCTTCATTGTCCAGCTTCTTGGGACATCCTCCAAACATGAAAAGCACAATATCAAATGCAAGGATTGTTATCTTATTATTATTAGCAGTAAAACATCAGCGACTATGCTTTTACTCCACGCTATTAGGGAAAATGCCCTCAACTCAAGGTCCTGTATCGGCAACAAAGTATAATAATAATTATAACAATCTTTGCATTTGGTATAGTGCCTTAACACATTGGGAGGATGTCTCAAAGTGCTTTACAGGATTTACTGTGAAATGGAGTGACTATATTTTTAGGCAAACGTGACAGCACAATTGCGCACAGCAGTGTCCCACAAACAGCCACGAATGGAGTGACCAATTTTATTTGGGAAATTGTTGGCCAGGACACTCCCTTCCCTTTTTCAATCCTGCCATGGATTCCTGAACGTCCACTTAAACAGCCAAATGGGACTTCGGTTTAACATCTCATCCAAAGGACGGCACATCAATACAAGGCAACACATGGGTCAGAGTGTCAGCTTAGACTATGTGAGTTCATGTCCCGATGTGGGATTGAACCATTGAAATTGGCCAAAGTCTGTTTTTTTTTTCGGTTTGTAATCATTAACCCAAAGGGCAGCTCTTTCACTCTTTGCTGATTCTGCCTGTTGTGTGCGCCCTTTTGTTAAGCCAGAGGAAAATGTTGCTGTCCGCAATCCCCATACAAAGCAAAACAGTGCCACAATTCAGCCCTCCTCTTTGAGTCAGCTGTGCTGAGGTCGCTGAATGGGCCTGTACTGAACCCTAGAGAATGGCTGTGTGTGGGTGAGATCAGTGAAGCTGGTGCAAAGTGCAGCAGTTTTTACTTTCACCCCAGACGTTAGGATCTGTGCTACACTGTGTGCAAACAGATAAAAATTGGCCCATTCACTTCATGGCTGCTCCACATTGGGACATTGCTGTGCGCAACTTGGTTGCAAAATGCACAATCACTCCACTTTACAGTAAATCCTGTGAAGCACTTGCGACATCCACACATTGTGATAGACCTGCCTATCAAATGTGAGGCTAATTATTATTAATAATCATGTTCAGACCATGTGTAAATAGGGCAGCCCGCTAATTCTTGCACTCTCCAAAGCTTTGCATTCACCTACATAAATATACAGCTTTGCAGTAAAACGTGAAGCGCTTTAAGACATTTTGAGGTTGTGCTAAGGCATGTGTCATACTCAAGGATTATTATTATCATTTATTACTATTATTAGTTCCAGGACATTGTGCTCAAGGCCAACGCTGTGTTCAGGACTCTCAGGCTCAGTGCAGGATTCTCAGTAAGATAATCAAGGTAACTCACTGCTGGAGAAGGAAGAAATTTCAGCTTGCATATGTCAAGCAATAAGAAGAAGCTTGCATTTATATCACACCTTTCCATGTCCCAAGTGCTATGCAGTGTGTGGGGTGGGGTGGGGGGGAAGTTGGACGCTGAGTGAGGGAGGGGGACGAGGAGGCGGTGACCTTAGGTACGGGAGAAGGGGTAAATCGTGTGATCGGCAAGTGATCAGTGTTTGTGGAAACCATGAACCACGAGTAACGCTAATCACATCAGCCCACGAGGAGAGAAGAGAACGGGAGGGGAAACTTGCTGCAGAAAAGCTGTTGTTTTTCCTCCGCTAAAAATTCCTAAGAGCAAAAAATAAATAACTGTAACTGCTTTCCAGGCATTCTGGGCCAACTATGCAACAATTGATCCTGCTTGCCAAACGCCCATTTAATGTCACTTACATGGGTCAGAGTGATTTTTCAGCACAGAACTGCCAAATAAAGCTATCTGTGCCAAATAAAGCTATCTGTTGAGTCCCACTGCTCTGTTTTACATGACTTTCCCAAACTATGGAGTTACATGGAGCAATGTAACATCACTGGGACTAGGAAAGCAGTGGGGAACTGGGAGTAGGATAGACGTCTATTTAGTCAATTGATGGATCGCTTTCTGGGCGGAAAAATAATATTATAATAATAATAATAATCCTTGCATTTGATATAGCACTTTTCAAGTCTTCTCGACGTCTCAAAGCGCTTCACAGAATATGCTGTAAAGTGAATTGACCGTATA